TATCGAAATATTTCATTCCACTTGGTAAGAAGTACCGTTCTTCTTATGTACGAAACGCACATACCTAATAGTGTGGTTAAAGCAGTTGACTGAGTTTATTCACACGTTTTCTTGCACGAAGAAAATTTTATATCAAAAATTTTTATGATACGGCAGAGAGAGAGGGAGAGAGAGAGCCGTACTGCGGATCAAGAAGAATTATAAGTTTAAATACTATGGCCATTATGTGAAAATATAGTAAAAATTTTTATAATTTCTTCATGGTCCGCGCCGTACATAGTAATTTTTGATGTAAAATTTTCTCCGTGTATATATATATATATATATATATATATATATATATATATATATATATAACATTTATATATAACTTTTATATATAACAATTTTGACTACATCATATTCGTGTTTCCGCGATCACGTCGCAGCCTTTCCTATTATCGGCGAAATCAATTAGCACGCAGATATATTCGCGGATCCTTCCAAGTCAATTTTGGATACAATAAGCAAAATAATTATGGGAAAGCCGCACGGGCGTTAATGGATAAACCAGAGTGTCGAACGTCAGCCGAGAAATCGCATTTCCCGGACGAATTTTGGAATGTGATTTACGACGCCGTGATAGAAGAGAACGTGTGCGAGTTACCCCTCTTTTAGACTTTGGAGAATATAACTTGGCTTTAATGAAGATGTATGGCTATGGAGAATCAAGAATTATCCGGAGGGTGCGATGATGTGATATAATACGTCGCATTAACCCACCCCGTATTTTTCGCGTAAACTCGGCGAGTACGGTAGTTTTGCGGATTGATCGATACGGCCGATCGAGTATTAATTAACGAAGCCCAGAACGAAATTCAATTCCGCCGCAATTTTCGCGTTTCTCATATTTTGCGCCACCCCGTGTCCTCTTTTCCTCGATTCTCAATCATTTTGATACTGTTTTATACATTGCACAGGAGATCTGCGGCCGATTTTATCAAGAGAGGCAATTGTAACATTCGCAATTCGACGGAATTAAATACTCTTCGCAGTAATGCGAGATAAATCCTCGCTGCAAAATATTGAAATGTTTATAGTTTTATGTTGATAAAAAAAAAAGGATATTTGTTGTAATAAAATCAAAGGCTGGTTGGTGTCGCTTCTTCTCTTCTCCGAAGCTATAAAAGAACGGTGTCTCAGAAATCAATACCTTGATCTTCCTTGTTTCTGCCCTTTATTGTTAAATAGGATCTTCTTTGATTGTCTTAAAGCTAGTATCTTATAGTAAATGTCTATTTTATGAGATTTGCTCATACAGGAAACCTCAAATGTGGTCCCTAATAGCAATTTGCGACGTGAAACGTATTATTTGAATAGGTTTCCATGTCTATTACTGTAAACTAGTTTTGACAAAGGAAATCAACGTTCTTTCTCGGAAATAATTTTGATCTAGAATGAGACGTCAAGGAACTAACGATCATTGATACAAAAACAAGGTTATTAATCATATCCCGCAATAGTAAAGTTTAAAGGGAAATAGGAGTACGCGTGTTTCTCTCAGGTAAAAAGGGTCTCTCGCCTCTGTAGTAAACGCGGGTACACAAGCGTAAGACGTAAAGGGGGCGACGGAGGGGGGCCCCACAGCTTTACCCGGCCTTCCTCGCCTGCGGCCAAGACAATGCCAGCATCAGAGGCTAGCCGGTTCTTGACGCCTTGCCAGGAACGGCGCTAGTCCTTTCCTGGCCACGCGGACGTTGGCATATAAAATCGGCGTATCCTCGAAAGCGTCTGCTGCGAGCAGCAGCCGCACGATCGCTTGCCAAAACAGTGCTTTGATGTAAGAGCCGTGTATTCGGGATTCCAGCAAAGGCGTTAATTAATCGGTCCTCGCAGCTGGAACGGAGCACCGGAGAACTGACTCTGATTTCCCCGCCGACTTCCTTTTCCGCGGACGTACGCGAGGCAATTTAACTTATGAATCACCCTCTCGAAATTCAGCGAACGCGAGCTCCCTCTCGAAAAACATCTCGCCGTTTCGTGCGTTCGTTGAAGTACATCGACTTCCATCGCTGGTTGAACGATTATTCGCTGTCGCGAGTCGAAGCGAAGCGTTAAACGATAAAAGGTGCTTTCAAGGCGAACGACAATCTCTGCAATCTGCCAGCAGGCGGGCGCGCTCCTCGTAAAGCGCAGAAAGACGCAACGCGGCGTATACGTTCTCGACGAGGCTCTCGACAAAGCCGGCCCTGGATCTCGGGCATAATGTTGGCGAAGTAGCAGCGGGCCCCGGTTGCAACGCACCGCGCGACGTTGCCGCGCGTTCTTGAACAGCGGGTCAGTGAGGAGATCCGGGAGAGATGGTGCGGGGAAAAGGGAGACAGAGGCCGGGGAACGCGAGAGCTCGACGCGCGGATCGCCTCGGCCAGGTTCACGAGAGCTCGGAGAACGGGGGCCCCACGACGTTGCCACATCTCGATGACGCCACACGTTCGTCGATGAGGCCCCAGCGTTCAGGAAACGCTAGGTAGTTCCTCCTACGACGCGCGCACGCCGCTCGATGCACAGCCATCGGCGACCATCTGCTGGCCCTCGGGGCTTTTGAATCGCTGATGGCTGGCGTGACTCGGCAGCCGCGGCTTGGGAGATGAGATCGACGAGTTTCGTGCCGTAGCGTGAGGCTGCGCGCGGCTGGAAGCCATCTTGGGTACATACAGCTTGATGCCCCCTCGTCTCCGCTCGTCTTCCGCTCTCTCATCGTGGAAGGAAACGCACCGCCATATGTCCCCTCTCTCCCTTCGATCAATGGCACGTCTGTCTAGCCGATGAACTTTGCCTTTTAACTCGTCCCTTTACTTACGTCCATTTAAAACTTAGGCTTCGACGGAGCGATTAGACGCGCGACGTCATTAACCCCGTCGAGCGCTGCTCATAACCCCGGGAACCGTTTAAATTTTGATGGTGTACGGCGCGCTTGCCGAGGGAAATACCTCAGGTAATTACCGTTGCGCCTCGATGCCGTCATTACTCCGGAAGACATTGCTCCTCGTCTCTCTCTCTCTCTCCCGTCTTTTTTTTCTCGTTTATAATAGATTATGATCGGGGAAGTGGCATCTCTCATGTCGCGTATTTTATTTATAACTAGATCGTATGGTTTAATCGTCGTGCGCTCTCGGAGAACACGAATACAGAGGCCTTAATCAGCCGTTAAGTATATCGTGTTAAAAACACTGGGGAAGAAAAATAGGGTCATAGGAAGTACACCTGAGGCGCGCGCGTAGTGCGCCGCTCGCGGCCACCCCAAGATAAAAATGGAAAATGCACGATGGACGGCGATGATTTTCCGGCAGATAGTCGCTAATAAAAATAAGACAGCATAAACAACAGGAAGAAAAACAGCGTCGAGCTAGATCTCCCTATGACCTCTTATCTCATCCACTCCCAAGTTATGAAATTTTCTAGAGCTTCATCGCTACGTCGTAACTCTTGCCCAAGCGTCTTGTCACTGTTTGTCGAGATAATACAATTTCGAGGCGGAATGACTGGAATAATAACGAGGAGGAGAGGGCTTCAAAGTATCACCCAACAAAAGGCGAATCGTCCGACCATAGCAATGACCGTCCTTTCGATTTAAAGCCGAGAAGTTTCTGATGACTCGACGTCTCGTGGATCTCGGGTGTCTCTTTCGCCGTGCGCGCTACGAAATCGACGTGCGAGAGACGATACGTAAGAGATACGATACGGGTTCGCGTATATACCGTTACGTCGCTCAAGCAAGACGCATTCGATACAAGTATGCCATGCGCGCTACCAAAAGGTCATCGCGTTCATCGTGTCGCTTGTGTCAGAATTTTATTAGATATACGCGAAAGATTTGTGGCCGCTTTAAAAAAAGAAAGGAAAAGAAAAATGTTAAAAAGATTCTATCGTATAAAGTACGATTACGAAATAATACTCTACACACAATGTATGCACGCACGTAATGTACATTTGCTTATTAATTAAAGAATTTTCTGTTAGATAAAATCCCTTTTAAAGTTATCTGATGGGGAGGCTGTAAAAATCCAATAATTAAAGTAACGTGTTGTTAGAGGATATTGTTTAATCGGTTAATCAGGTGATGTGTAAGCGAATTTTAATGCGATGCATTAGAGCATGGGGGGAAAAAAGGAGATCGTCGAGTGTTATGTTATGTGCAGGATTAACATTCTCTCACGAGAACGCCGACAACATTGCACCGTTATTAATGTATAAACAGCCTTAGGCAGTCTTGCCACGCATGCGCGTAAGCTATATCTGAATTTGTACTCGAGGCATTGGGATTTACAGTAAGGTTTAATTAGTGGTCTCGCGTGTTATACGGAGGGGCATCTGATAAAGAGAATTTGTCTACAGTAAACATGTATGAACATGATATATGAACATGCTTACACTTGTCGTCGAGAGAGATTTTGCCGTAATTGATTCCGGTAGGAACTGAAACACGACATGCCGTTTAAAAAGATTTTTGTTACTATTATTACTATAAAAAGAAATGATTAAAAAATATGACTAAACATGTTGCGACACTAGCTTGAGGAGTGTGCGGAAATTGCGCAAGTTTCACGGATGGCCTTTTGATGGGAGACGAGCGACGCTGAGAGGTACATTGAGGCGGTCCATGTGCGATTGTTATCGTACACGTCGTCGCTTAATTTAAGCGATACCGCCCTTCTAATCTACCATTGGCGCTATCACGAAAACAACACACATACAATGCACCTTGGATGCGCAAGAATGGCCTGCACGCCTATTCAAGAAGCACTCGCCTGGACGCGCTATGGCGCACAAGCACGCCATTTAAAAACGTTCGTTCAGACTGTGCATACACATGGAATCGTATATGCATTCGTGACTTCGTGACTTTTATATTCTTTAGATTATAAGAGACACACAATGTAGAGTCGGCCGGTAGCAATTATTTCGCGCTCTTACTACCGTGTCAAGATTTATTACGTAATGTAACACTAAAATTTACTCACCAGCCGATGTGCTGCCGTTGCTCCCCTCCGTTACTTCGGACACGCCTGTAACAAACGCACTGATTAATACGCTTTATTCATACGACACACACGAGTTTTACGAGCGCGACGCACTTTCGACGCGATATACGACGATTCCGAAATAATCTCGATTATTACATTCGCAAAACAATTGTGTCTATTGTAAAAAATTCGATGCAGAGACAATGCTTGATGGAGCGGCTTTGTGAGTTAAAAGAATGTCAAATGTAAATAGTATCGCAATATTTAATTATCTTTAGTTGTTTTTATTATCTCCTTGATCGACAATGAGTTCGGTTCTTCCGACACGCGATTACTCGTGCGATTCTCGGACGAATAAATAACACGAAACATAATGATTATCCATAGTAATTGCCACTCTGCTGCTAATTAATACTCTATGATAATTGCCTGTTATTCGATTATACGTATCATGTCTGAAAAACGTTCGTTACGAACGTGCGTATCAAGAGACACGGTCATGTCTCACACCAATCACGCACAGCAAACGACATGATCCTATAAATTCGGCGCGTCTGCCGGCAGCGACTGTTTCACATTTTGTACTGCCGTTAATTTTGTATACATTTGCAATTAAACGATAATATACCGCAAGTCGTTTAGCTGAGATAAATAATTCTGGACTTGTCGAAAACCGGGTGTCCAAATAAAACTTGTTTTTCTGCGACTTTTCTGTGCGATAATATCGATCCGTATCGATTTACCCTGAGTGATTCCGAAACTGACTAACGATAGAGCCAGATGTAATATAGGTCGCTGACCTATGTAGAACATACTACTACTGCTAATCGGCTGATCAGCTGATCGTAGTAATGCAATGGTTACGTAATGTTACCGGCACACCTATGTAAACGTACACATGCGCGTCGTGTTTATTCGTGAATAGTGTGCACATCGGATCTTAAAAACGTTATAACTCGGCGAGAAGTTGACGTAGCGACATGCGCCGAAAACGGGTCTTCTGCGCGTCGCATACCGCAGATGCTTGTGCCCAATATATGCACTTTTATCATGACATTTATACGTGAGTATATGTATAGTATAACTCGAACTCAAATATAATGGCCCATATTTTAATTGTGATAATATTATTGGAGTTTAATTTTATACATGAGAAATTTCTAATTTGTTATGAAATTGTGTTTTCGAGAGCTGAAAGAATTAAGAATAAATGTATTAAAAAATGCACGAGAGTGCGTATATTTCTTTAAATCGTACCTGAGAAAGAGTATACATTGGAAATGCATAACGACTTCAAACTAATCTTTCTGTTTAGTTTTCTTTATCATTTCTATATTCGTTTAATATATTGGTATTGTTTCGAGCAGTATGTGAATCTATAATACGTTTACAGGAAGAGATGAGACATGCTAAACTTATCCAATTAACTCGTTATTAACATCTCTAATAAATGGGCGCGTCCTGGAATCGTCAATAATATTTTTAGTCGCTGGGAAAACAACTTTCGTACTATTCGTACCAAAGTCGTCTCGCGAAAGTCCTCATTGTTGATTCTCCGAGAAATCATTGTTAATCACGGTGAACGTGAGTGAGCGAGCGAGCGGTTGCCAAGGAAGCGCAGTAGCGTTCGCAAATTCAAAGCCGGCGCAGGGTTTGCGCGTCCAATACGCGAATCGGAACGCAATTGTTGCCGCCACAACTATGCCAGCGATGCTTTCTCTCTCCCTCTCCCCCTCTCTCGCTCTCTCTCTCTCTCACTCACTTGCTCTACCTCTCAGAGAGAGGCCCCTTGCATAGGAACCGGAGCAACGGGCAGATGCTTCATTAATACGCCGATCGTGAATTGTTACCATTTAATTAAATCGCATTTTCCGCGCGCTCTCCATGACTCCGCGGATCAGGAGGAGAGGAACTGCTTCGGCGGTTCGTAATTAAAACTGCGGCTCTTGTCCCTCGCCTTGTTTGTTCGCTCTTTGTTTCTCTCTCTCATTGTTTCTTTCTCTCTCCCTTCCTCTGCTCCTTTCCTTGTCTCTTACTTTTCTTCACTCTTTCCCTTTCTCTCTCACTCTACCTCTATCTATCTATCTATCTCTTCTCAAATGACGATAATGAAGTCGCTGACGTCAACGCCGATCGATCCTCTGTACGGAAATGTCTGTCCAACTGCGAAAAGTTACGAGATCACACTTAGAATGACGCGTCCTAAATAAGCGTGGCACTTACTCTCTCCGACGATACAGAGACTTCGCTCACGTATCTCATACAATACGCTCGCAAAATGTTCGCGGATCTTTCGATATTGATAAAACTTCGTTGGTTTGCAAAGTTAACGGAAATTATATTGAAAATATTCGCAAGAGAAGTGCCGTGAACATCGCAAAAAGTACGATGTATGGAAACTGAATTTTCCGAGAGAAAAAAAAAACGGAGATTTCTTCGAAATTTGCAAATAAGCATAAGTTGATTTTAATAACTGTTGTTATGCACAAAGAACTTTTCTGAATTTGGCTGCTCTCTAACGAAGAATTTTCCGTGCGGAACCCAAAAGGTGCGCATGCTGTGCAGCTCACGTACATGTAAAGGCAAAAACCTCGTTCAAGGCCAGCGGAATGCATCCTTTCAACTTGAAACTTTTCACTCATGGAAGTACGTTTCGAAAAGTATTGCAGCACCCCAGTCGCTCTTCGTATACGACATATATATATATATATTATATTAACCTATTGAAGACTATCGCCAAAATATTCATATAGGAAAACCTGATAAATCCGCGATATCCAGAAATTTACTGTAAATGACAAAATAAATTCGCTCCGAATCTAAACTGTTCAAACTGCACAATCTGAGCTTTAGATTTCGCCTCGGCGGACTATCGATATAACTTCAACATTCTTACCGGTAATTCTCGACGGACTTTTATGGTATCGGTTTATGCAATATCGCTGCCGTGAATTTCCTACAGCTTCTTTACATGTACATAAACTCATACTTTATTCACCTCCCATGTATTATCAGCTAATAACAGATTAAGCTTTTCAAGTTGTCGATAACGATCACTCCTCCATTCCGCTTTACCAAACTTTCGCGATGTAAGAGCGCCTTCGAAAATAGCATGAATATGACACATTGACGATTTTCTTTCCAGGATTTTATTCTCAGTCGGATGATGCATCGGGACTATCGATCGTTGGCGTAACTGTGAAAAACAGTAAGCGTTTGCCCGTACACGCGGCCGAGCGCGAACGGCGGGGGGGAGGTCAAGAGTCAGCGACGAGACGCGGCGGAGAGACAAGTCCAGGCGTTGGACGAAAGAGGAAAGAGGACGGAGAAAGGGGAAGTAGAATCGCGATGCATTCGCGGGGTCAAAAGGGCTCGACGGGGTAACGAACCGACGACGACGACGATGACGACAATAACGAGTCGAATACTGGATTGAGTGTATTTGTGTGCCGACTGCATGGCAGTCGGGTGAGCAGGGCGCATTGCGGTTATCTCTTTATCGCCACCGCGAAGGCGACCTCGGGCCCGAAGAAATAAAGGCTCGATTGTGTATCTTGAGCCGGCAGCCGAATCCTCTTTCCGTCGCGAAATCTCGCAAGATATAATGTCTCAAATAGAATCTTTATACAATCGTAAATATTCAGAGGGTCCGGCAGAGCGTGAAGTCACGCAGAATGCGAAATTCTTTCGGATCTCTCGCTACGCTAAATATATTCGCGAAAGCCGTCAATTTGCGTGGAGCATTCTATAACCGCGGTATTGTTAGAAAATATATTAAGTATTGAAATAGAATTATAATTTATTTGAAATGTAATTATTCAAATTCTTTGTTCCAATTCGTCTTAATAATCTCTTTTCATAATTAATTTGAATTACAGATCGCGCTATATTTTTTTTTAATTTTATGGATCTCATCTAATGCAAAATTCCAGTCGAACTGAAAACACCGTTTTAATGATAGATCGAGCGTGCAACGTTCGTGCTCTAGGAACAGCAACGGAGAAATCTGCGTCCATGTTTTTTTTATTTCGCGCGACAGCGAAATATATTAATCCCTTGCGGTCGCAGATGGGTTTAAAAAACCGTGTCGCGTTCACATGTTGCGATGCGCGGGTCGCACAACGAGTCGCATGCAACCGGTTCCGCGGTTGCGGGCCGAGCGCGTACATACGCGGCCGGCCGAAAGTCGCGCATCGTCGCGTATTCGCGGGTATTTAATCGCAACGAGATCGGCGACGGGCTGAAGTATCGGAAAGTAAATGACACGTAATGGCGCGCCCGCCACTTTGGCAGGGCTCGAAAATTGAAGCGCGTCAGCGCTTCGCTTCGCCGAGCGAAAATCAAAATCGTTTATTGGACGGGCATTAACGTAACTTCAAGTGGCGATAACGCGCATCAACTTTTTCC